CGTGATCTATTATTGGAGTAGTGTCTATTCCTTGGGTTGGAATGGGAACTGGATGCAGAAACAAATTCTGTTGTGTTTGAATTCGATCGTGAATAGTTATTTTGGTTATTTTGGCTATTCGATCGGCTATGTCTATTTTGTGAGAAATTTCGTGAATTTCTTCGTTCGGGCGATCTAACTCTATAACTTGAGTTATATGGTGATTGATTTCTTGAGTAATTTGAGTTGCTTGGAAGTGGTTTTCTTGAACTGTTATTACTATATATGTTTTTGTTTGGTAGATTTTGATCTTTTTTCAAGTATTGATAGAATGATTTATTTGGTTCTTTGTGCTTTTGAGGTTTATTCTGATTATCTTGGTGTTTTTGTCTACATTCGGCGATACTGTGTCCGTATCATCGGCAGTAATTACACCATTTTTTGAAAGATGGTTTGCCTTTAAAATTTGGTTTCCTTTCATAGATGTTTAATATTTCAGTGATTTTTTCGATCAGGTCTGTGTCTGATTCTTGTATATTATTTATATGTGTAGTATTTGTTTCAATTCGATTAACGTATTGTAGTTTTAGATTTTCTGTTTCTTCGAGTTTCATTGTGATTTCAGCTTGTTCTAGTTTATCTACTAATTTCCTAAAATCTAAGTCTGGTTCTCGAATTGAGGAAGGATGAGATGCTCTCTTTTTTATAGCTATTTTCCTTAATTGAGGTGTTAAGGTCATCATTAAAAAAAAACTGTCATTTTTGTGTTTTTGTAATCATGTGTATTAAGTGAATATGCTTTTCGAACTAGTTTTTCGATTCGTACTGCTAATTTTTTAATTGTTTCATTTGGTAATCTGCGTATTTCGTTGCATAAAACTCTTTGGTGTTGTTTGTTTCTTTCAGAATCAAACATTTTTGAAAACTCTTGTGTAAATCTTTTCCAATCTGATTTTATTTCTATAGGTAGTACTGAAAACCATTTTTGAGCTGCGCCATCTAGTGTTGTTCGTTTTAACGCTGTGCGTCTATGTATCCAATTTTGACGGAGTGGCGTATTAATTGGTTCAGGTCCTATATTTAAATTAAATTTGCTGTGACTGCGTTTAAATAGTCTTCTACAGAATATTCAGGGTCTGTTCCTGTGAATACCATCAGTGGTTTATTCGGTGTTATTGATGACCCACCCATGAGGTATGGATTCATAGTCATCTGTAGTGATTCTGCGGCATTTGGCATTTGTGAAAAATTTGAAAGTTGATTTTTGGTTATCTCGTGTTGCTGGAGGTAATATGGAAGCGCTATTTCATTTTGCATTTGAGTTGGTTGATACGAATGCATAGTCATTGGATTTTGTGGCTGTATTGGTTGAAACGATTGTGTATTAAACGGGTTTTGCATATGCATTTGTTGTTTGTATATCTGCTAGATTTTGTGGGTAAATTTTCATTTTTTGAGATGGTTGAGATTGTCGCGGTCTCTGTGTGCAATATTCTTTGGTATATGGTGCAAAAATATCTGGTTGATAGTAATCATCATCATCAGATGATAAGTAATTTGTGTTATAAGGTGTTTCTGTTTATTTTTATTTTGTTGAAGAAATGGATAGTTTTCACTATAATCCTGTGGAGGGTGTGGATTATCTGGAAAATTTACTGAATTGGTCGATGTATTTGGGAGATTCCAATAATGGGAACATACCTGATTTAAATTTGTGTATTTTTTAGGGGGGGGGGTTAATTTGTTTTTTGTTGGTGTGGATAATTATAATTATGTTCTGCAAATGTGTTTTTTGTGAACGTTTTTCGTGTTTTCGACGGTTTTGTCATTGGTCTTTACGTCTGATAGTCCATATGTGAGTATTTTGGAGCAACCGAAGGTTTAACGGTTGACTGTAAGGTTACTTGTGGTAGTAATGTATTTGTATTTTTTGGTGTTGTGAGATTTGGACGTATTGGTGAAATACTTTGTTGTGTGGTTGTTACTGTTGTTTAGACTACTTCTTCATTTATGAAGTGTGATGGTGTTTGAATATCTTGCTGTGTAAGATTTTTGGTTCCATTAAGATTTTCATTATGTATGACTGTTGAATTTAAGCTGTTATTTCGTGTATCGGGTAGAAATGTATTATAATTTAATGGTGTTGCGTCAATCGTTAATGGTATTACTTTTACATAATCTCTGTGAAAAGATATTGTACTTATCGCTTGACTCGAGATATCTTGTGGAATGTTTATAAATGCTGGATGAGACCATTCAGGGTACCAAACGTAATCTGATTGTTCTGCAATGACAGTGTCGTCATTGGTACTTTGGGGTCTGAAATTTTTTCTTGCTTGTGAAATTAAATCTAGGTTGTGGGTAAATTAATCTATTGTAAACCATGCTAAAATTTTCTGTAAATCATTTTTAGTGTTTTGTGAGACATCATTATTGGTGAATTTTTCACGGATTATATGTAAAAATGTTGAAAATATTGTGATTTTGTTTCTTATTTTTGTATGTTTGGATGTTTCTGTTGGTGACGTGCTTTGAACTTCTGTTTTTTCTAATATAGATATATAACTATATATTATCGCAAAAACTTTGTTAGTGATTATTGAGTTTGCACTTTGTGAATTATGATATTGTATGCTTTTGTTATATTCTATGAAAACTTTCGAAAATTCTAGATCTATATCGTCTGTTTGAATTACATATTTGTTATGAGCTGTTCGTGGTGTGCTGAATTCTATGGTGTAGATTCCGTATTGTTGTGTTAGGTTACATATGTCTTTTAGATAATGTTCTATAATTTGTCTTTTGATTTTTACATCCGGGAATTCTGCTTTGCACGGACTGATTCCTGGTTCAAACAAATTTACGAGTAAGTTTTTACAAAATCGTGTTTGTCCTCTATCATTGACTGAATCTATAAGAAAGGGAAAAACTGCTTCTTCATCTGGACTTTCGTCACTTTGAGTGTGGCTCATTTTTTCGTTTGATGACTGTTAATATATAACTATCAATATGTCTAATTGGTTGTTTCCAATTATGTAGGTGTACTGGTTTGTGTTTATATTGCGTTTTTATATTGCTATTTTATTTAACCTGGGTCTTTTTGTTCAGGGTTGGAGAGAAAAGTATATCAATTCCGAAGAATGATTTTTACTTTCTCGTGGCTAGTCTAAGTTAAGGTGTTAACTTGTTTAATCTTACTTAGGGGTAGTGATTGTGTTCAAGGGTTGGAGAATAGTAAATCGATCCACAAGGTTCAGGTATAAATAGAACGCAAGTAGTTCGTTAGATACTATTTTAAACTTACTAAGTTTAAGATCTATCCTGGGTCTGGTAAGAGGAGGGTTCAAGTGAAGGATGAATAACCGAAGTTCTTCACTGTTTAGCCTAATTTGAATGGTTAGTATTATTAAAAATTTCCATTAGTCCTGGGTCTTTTGAAAAGGTTGGGTAGTGAATCGACGTTTGAGGTCGTTAGACAATTAATAAGTGGGCGGGGGAGAACAAAAGTGTTCTTTTTGATCCAAGGATAAGCCTTGATGATCAGAATTAAAAATTAATGATATAGAAAAATTAACTAAGATCCAGGGATAAGCCTTGATGGTCTGGATTAAAATTAAGTAAATTTAAGTTTAAAATGGTTTAAATTTATTTGGTATAAAAATTTAGTTTTTTATGATGTTAGTTAGCTTATGATTGCTGTTATGTTTAGGTGATGAAGCTGGAACAATAGGATGATGTATAATTACTAACTATTTATTGTCATGCTACTAATTTTTATTTTTATTTTCAAAAAATATTTTTCAAATAAATGTGTACTGCAGAAAATGAGAAAACGATCTGTGATCTTTTTATCAATCGTTTTTGTACATTAGTAATTTTGTTTAGCGCCTGAAATAATCATGAAGATTTCCTTCAAAATTTTATGTTTGCAAATGAAAATCTAAATTCATTGCTAATAAGATTCTAAATATAAAAGTTTGTGTTGGATTTTGCCGTACAACCATGAAACTAAATGGTAAGTTTCTACGTAGTCGTATATCGTCTCTTGTCCGAGGTCTTCTTCCAATACCGGGTAGTTCTAGTATTGTGCGGAATATCGGCTCTGATCTATTGAGTCGTAGAGACATTTCAATTAAGTTATTATCGTGTAACATTTTGAAAATGTTTTGTCTAATTTCTAATCTATAGTTGGTTAATTCTAAGCTATTAAGGTCTTATTCGTGCCTCACTGGTCGCACCAGATGAGTTAGGTCCTTTAGGTTAACTCATTGAGTAACTTCGGATAGGGTACACCGTCTGCTCGTCACGCTATCTTATTTTCGGCCGGATAGTTTCGTGCAACTTCTTAGTCTAATACCGATCCTAATCTTACTCTTATATCTACTAGTCTCAGGGTGTTTAACTAGTCTCTGCTAGGCTCAACAGATCTAGAGTATACTGGTTTTTTGCGGCAGCTGAAGTTCTCTTGGAGAGGCAACTAATTTCTAAGTTAAATTCAAATCTCTCTGGTGCTTAAATTACAAGTAATTTCAGCACTTACAAATAAGTGGGTTGTTAGTTGGATGGATTATGATTGGTTATTATTAAATATTTTACATTATGATTGGTTATTATTAAAAATTTTATGCCCATGGTGAAAACTAGCTTTTTCATACCCGGAAAAAATTGGTAAGTGCTAGATATTAAGTTCACAGGGAAACTTTGATCATTTGCCGTTTGTCTATCTAAAAATTTCGTTTGAATTTCTAGCGAATGTTGTCCAGATTCAGCCTTAAAAACGGGCTCTTTTGAGAGCAAAAATCTGAAATTGCACTTATCTTTGTCCACTTGTGTATTTCATTTTTAAAGGCTTTTCCAGGTAAAAACAGGTAGAAATAGGTTTTTGGAAACGATATTAAATACTTTACTTTGCTTGCGATACTTTTTTCTTCCGTTTTTGCTAGAACATTTTTAGTTTTGAACCGACAATCTTAATTATCTGCTAAAATTCAAAATTTTATTTATTGCCGTTAAATATTTAGCCATGTTGTTGGGACTTGCAGGGAAAGCTCCACACTCGAACTGTGCTTTTTTCACTTCCGTGGGAGAGAAGTTGTTGCTACAAAGGAGTTCCGCATTCATAATAGCTCAAGGTAAACAAAAGTTCATAGTAAGAAGTTGTGAATGCAAATATGTGAAGCCTTAGATTATGTTTAGAAAATTCAAAAAATTTATTTGATATTCAAAATCTCTGTCGTAAACTTTCTTGTTCTGAAATGCCAAAAATCTGGAAATTGCCAAAAATTTGTCGCGAAAGTCGGGAAATGAATCGCGGACTTCAAACCGGCTTGATTTTTTCGGTTTCCTTGAAATAATATATATTTTACTCGGGGATTATAAATTTTGATTTTCTACAAAAAGATTATTGAACTTTGATTGCTTACTATTACCAATGATAATAGTATTTTTGGCAGTTAATTCGCAAATGGAAAAAATAAAGGTCCTGTTATATAATGATCTCTTCTTTGATGTTTTCTTTTTTGTTATTGGTTGCTCTGCGTGCTAATTAATGTGTTATTTGATTGTGATTTATCATTTACAGCTCATCAGACAAGAAATTTGGTCTGTTTGCGTGGTGCAAACAAACCAGCCCATCATCAGAAAAGTTCAATCTTCGCATCGGCAGTTCGTTCACACAAACTAACCAATCACATCTCAGCTTTGCAAGGATTCAACTTCACAGTCAGTTATCACAATTCTAATTCAGCTACCATCAAAATCGAAAACTTAGTCGCGGATTTTGACCCGGGCGGTATCTAAAAAAAAATAATTTTGGAGGAAAAGGTTTTCAAAACACCTTTTTTGATCGTTACACCCTTTCGAAGTCTCACAAAGTTGCACAAACTAGAGGTCGTTAGAGGGATACTGGCTGATACAAATAATTATAACGACACAAGAATTATATTAATTTCATTATTTCTTATTTCGTAATGATCATTATTAAAGGCTAGTGTGTTTTTTTGATTTCTAATTATCAATTAATGTACTTATAGTTTGAATTTCAGCAACTCCTTAAGATGTCGAGTGAGTCGCAATGTCGCCAGAACTTCCACGAGGAGTGTGAGGCGGGAGTGAACAGACAGATCAACCTAGAGCTGACAGCCTCCTATGTCTATGACTCACTCGCCTTCTACTGCCACAGAGACGACGTCGCCCTCCCCAACCTGCACAAGGTTGATGAACACCCCACCTCCCATTCATTACGAGGCCAAACTGTGCACTGGATAGGCGTACAATTTGGAGTTTTTGTCGAAACAGTCAAAGAAGACAAAAAAAACAAACGAAAAACAATTCCTTGTTGTGGAATCGATTTACAAGTAAAAAAAAAAACACAGTTTAGCCTCGTAATGCTTCAATAAAGTTTCCTCAGATAAACGACATGTTGCATACCGTATAAACAGTGGCTGTATAAAACACTCTCAAGAAAGACAACCCGATTCAAAACTGCCTGATATTTTTTGTAACAAAACACAGTTCGATACAAAACAGCGTGAACGCTCTTTGAGAACAAAAAAGCAAAATGAGGTTTAAGTTTACTCTCAAAATTACAGTGAGAAAAAAGTTGTCTGCTGTTTTTCTCCAAATTGATCATAACAAAACTGTCCGAAAACATCAAATGATTCCAGACTTTTGTGTCCCAGAAAAAATGACAAAACTTTTTGTCTGTGATATGACCTTGTCATCTTTAATAATTTGATGTTTTGCGTTCGTTTAGCCGTTATATAACTAGATTATTTGTGTACCAAATAAGCATCGATTAGTAAAGGCGAGATCAAATTTACAAAAAACAAAGAATTGCATTTTCAAAGAATTGCATTGGTTGTAAGTTAGAACGGTCGGAAGTTCCTATCTCGGGTGGGTCAAAATGTATCTCAATTTAGTTGAAACTTCGAATTTAGTTGAAGCTTGATTAACGGAAAAAAGAAACTAGAAAATCTAGTCTGCACTGATACTTGTTAACGTTTTAAAATTGAGATTAGCTCAGTTTTGAAATTTTCCAGGAAACGTTTTAACTTTGAAAAAATTATTGCTTTAGTTCTTGGAAAAACTTATCAAAATATGCACTTTTGCAAAATAAATTTTGGATAATTGGATAGAAATTTAAGTTTTAATCTCAGTTCAATATGATTGATGCACCGTTTTAGAAAATTGAAATGTTAACTCGGCTCATAGATCGCAACTAGCTTGGAAAGTTTTTTTTTTAAATTAAACATCACTCGGATTTCTCTTAACGGGACACTCTTTGCCTGGCTCACGTTTTTTCGAGCAGATCTTTGTCTTTTTTTGTTCTTCTGACAACGTTCAATAGGCTTCGGAAATTATGGGTGTTCAAGAACCATCAACTGCATTGTTGGTTCTTGAACGCCCCTATTGTGTCACATTAATGGCAATTCCAAATGTCAATGTCGACCAAGGTAGTAATCTTCAAAACAATTGAAGATCGAATGAGCTGTCATAGGAGTGTTTCAAATGCAGTGGAAGCGTCACTCACTGGTAAATAAACCTTATTTAGCAGCATTCGGTCATGCTCAGGGAACTCTAGATCAAGCCTATAATTATTTATAATTAGAATCATTTGAAAGTGACGCCAGACGCTTTGGCATGTCTGAAAATGGCAGTGCATACATAAAAGGAACCAGAAATCCTTCGATTAATTAGTGTATGGTGTATATCTGGAAGAAGACATTCGGAACGATTGAAAAAATGTCCTAGCAGAACCAATCATTAGTGCAACTAAGAACGCCCAAGCCATGTATTTTATTTTAAGGAACTTGAATTCTAAAAAAAGTTGGAAGTTATCAGAATTTTTCTTTTGTAATCATTAGGGAACAGCGAGATTTGCGTTTATTTATGTCTTGTGATTTTTGTTTTTTTTTCAGAGAGAAATAGTAAAAGTTGTTTTCGCCCAAATTTAGGCAAAAAACATTGTCATCTTCTTCCGGTATGCTCTTTTCCCCCTCAAATTTAACTAAGTTCTCTTTAACATTGATTTAGGTTAAATAATATTATTCAAATAATAAAATAAAAGTAAGTTTCCAAAACTAATTTTGTAATTTTTGGGCCACATAGCAGAAACTTATCCGACAGTTGAATCGCAATAACTGATTATTTTGCTGAAGCCTTTTGTGATTTTTTCGTTTGTGTTTTTTTTTCATTAAATAGTTCTTCCGGAAGAGTTCGGAGGAGGAGCGCGAACATGCGGAGAAGTTGATGAAATATCAGAACAAGAGAGGAGGCAGAGTTGTGCTGCAGGACATCAAGAAACCTGCACAGGTAAAAACACCAAATTAGCCACTCAGTTTGATCACGAACCATTACGATTGAAAAAGATTGTGAATAAAATTTTTTATGGCAACAAAAGACTCAATTTTTTATTAGTCAACCAATCCGGATGCCCCCTCTTCAGGGATTCGACCCCTCACCAACTTAAGGGTCCCTTGAGATTATGACTATCCTTTAAATTTTTCTAAAGGTGTCTTTGGCGCCGATATATACTAATTTTGAAGGGAAGCGCGCAGCGAAAAAACGCAATTGTTTGGTCAAAACTTTCCAAAAAGTGCCCAGAAACGACCTTTTTGACCTGTTTTTTTTTTTCAAAAATTTTCCTGCGGTGCAAAACGTTTGGTCAAAATAGGGTTTTCATAGTGCTATGGGAGTGCTTGAAAAATCAATTGGGTCGACCTAAAAAAAGCTACAAAATTTTCTGAAAAAATTTTAAATTCCGCCCCCCCCCTCGAGAAAATCCTAGATCCGCCCCCAACCACAATGCCAATTCATCTAGTTATGGATGTAACAGTAAAAGTAAAAACAATTTTTGCTCCTTTAAAAATATATGCCCGAAATTTTTCTGTCTTTAGTTGAAGGGTGAGTTTGCGAGTGTAGTGGAACTGCTCTCAGTGGCACTTCAGTTGGAACGAGATGTCAACCAGTCTCTGCTGGAACTACATGATCTGGCTGAGAAAAATGCAGACGCCCAATTCTCTGACTTCATAGAAGGAGAGTTTCTCAAAGAACAGGTTTGAGTTTGGTTTGAGTTTGGTTTGAGTTTGGTTTGAGTTTGGTTTGAGTTTGGTTTGAGTTTGGTTTGAGTTTGGTTTGAGTTTGGTTCGAGTTTCGTCTCATATATTTAGTTGGATAGAAGCTTAAATTAACAATTGAAGTGGATGTCGGAAAAATTATGCAACAGCTAAAATTTTTAACTTTCAAGGCTGAATAACCCAGTTCTGTTTTAGTGTTAAAGCTTCAAGATTTTACAGCGCTGATTTAAGCTATCCGGACGAAGCGCATAAAATATGAAAATTTCAACAAGTTTTTCTCATGTTGGGTTGATTTTCGTGAAAAATGATGGAGCCAAAACTTGCTAAGGATTTTAGCAGAATTATTACGTTCAAAAATTTTTAATCAATCATATACGCTAATTAACGGATCAATTAATGACATATTATATCAAAGTAAGCCACTTTCATAGCTCATTGACGTTTGAAAAAAGGTATGATCTCCAAAAAAAAAATAGTGCAAAACATTTAAAAATTGTTTATTTTTTTTAAAACGAAAATGATCTAAAATGAAAAAATCCTAACACTTTTTGGAGATTAAACCACTCCTAACCTTTGTTGGGCAACGTGAGTAGCTTCCTGCATTGTGGTTCCGAGGTTAATAATGGAGTATAGTAAGTTTTTTATAGTCTGTCTCCGTGTAATTCTAAATTAATCGATTATACCAGACTAATAATCGATTATAAAACAAATAAAGTAGCAATCAATTTGATCCATTATAATTGGTTACAATGGGTTATAATAGGTTATAATGGATTATAGTAGATTATAATGGGCTACAATAATATTTCATGAGTGATAGTCTAGATTTTCCGAAACCTTGAAAGTAATTATTCAAACGTTGTTTTACATTTGGTTACAGCGGAAATTTGTATTGTTTTCTGCTTTTCTTTCATTTCTTCTTATCTCCCCTTCCCCCTAAAAACTTACACTAACTCCTCCCACTTTTCTTGCTTCCTTCATTCACGGCCACCTCCCCCTCCCCGGCATCCTCCCCTTACTCACATCAACCGTAAGAACATTTGCGGGGTGTCAATTAGTTGTGGGAGGGGGGAAGGTAGATGCGCGTGGTGTAGGTGGAGGTGGGGGTAGTTGCGCGGACAAATGTTGAGGTGGTTTCAATTAGTTGTGGGAGGGGGGAGGGCAGGTGTGGTAGGGATAGGGTAGGTGGGTGTAGGTGCAGTTGGGGTTAGGTATGCGGATAATTGTGTGGGGAGCTTGATTTCAATTTGGGCCTGTTCAATTTGGATGTTAAAATTGAGAAGACTTGGGTTTAATTTTTTAAAGTGATAGTAAGTTTAAAAACTGAGTAGGCTGTGATTTTTGCAGAAAAATCATCAACTTTTGTAGAAAAATTGGAAGTAATTTATGGAGTTTATAATCCATTATAATGGTATTAACTGGATTATAATAGGTGTGATTTCTCTAAAATACTGAATTAAAGTCGATCATAATCGGTTGAGTGGTCCCAAAGTGTAACGATATTTGATTTTAACGGCCACATTTTTGACCACGAAAACAGATTATACTCGTTTATTTTTCATGGAACTTCATTGCGGGTTACTATGATATACTTTTGTCAGCAATTGACCTGTTAATTTTGCGAAATTAAATAATAAAGCCAAATGAAAAAGATAGAGATACGGATTCGTCTAGTGGGATTCGTGGGATTTCATATTTGCAGATTTGTTGTTAGTGGGATAAAAATTTTGTATCGATTTTTGCAAAACAAATTACAACATTAATTTTGCTAAAATTCAAGCATATTTTGTCTTTCTCATTTTTCATCAAATATCATTCCAATTTTGAAAAAAAAAAACGTTTTAATTTCAAATTTATTGTGTGAGAAGCACCCGGGTTGAGATCCCGCTCAAAAACCGCTCAAGATTTGACCGGTTTGAGCGGTTTTCCAGCAAGATTTGAGCGGTTTGGGAGGTTTTTTTTGGAAAAACCGCTCAAATCGCTCAAATCTTGCTTTAAAAACCGCTCAGAAGCAGCTGCATCGTTACGATCGTGGACCACGTGGCGACTCATGTCCACGTGAGATTTTCCAGACTCAAAATCTCTGCGCGACTATGCAATTTGGGTCTAAATCCGGATCATTCAAATCACACAAACTATGGCATACATTTTGTTCAGGTGGACGCTATCAAGGAGTTGGGTGATCTGCTGACGAGAGCCAAGAGGTGCGGACCCGGGTTGGGAGAGTTCCTGTTTGACGTTGAAGCGCTCAACTAGAGACCGACATCAGAAGAATTAAGAAACTAAGAAACTACAAGGAATTAGAACCTATAATTCTCGAAGTCGGTTGTTATTTCTGATTCTTCGATGGTTATGCCCAGCTAAAATAAAAATAATTCATTTTCATATTTTAAACTTTTTGAAAAATAGTTTTGGTAAATGAATAAACAAAAATCATAATCCAAAGTTTAAAAAAAGGAATCATAAAATAAACATGAAATGAGTTGCTGGTCAGATATTGAAAATGGTGTCACACTGGAACTTCAAATATGTAAAACAGATTATATAAACTTAGTAGAAAACAACAATAATAGAACCGCAAAAAAGAGATATTACAATGATTAGTAACATAATGACTTGTAACAAGAACGTAAGAACTTTCAGTGGCAGACAAAATATCATATAACTGGAATAATTTCTTTCGTCTTTTTTGTCTATCGGTGTTAAAGGAAGTTTCTTTTGTTTCTGCAGCGAATAGTGATCGTTCATTTTCTTTGCTCAAATCTGCCAGTATTTATGGAGATATCGATTGGTTTTTAGGTATTTGTGTTGTGTGCTACTAACACATGTTGTGCTATTGAGCTGTAAAAGTCAGCATTTGCATCCAAATCGAACTTAAAATCGCAATCTGAACGTGAGCTTTCCATTTTTTCCAGCAATATTCGCAAAGTCTTGACTACAATCTTAATAAAATCAAATCTTTTAACATTACGAGACCAAACTGTGCACTGGATAGACGCAAAATTTTGGGTCTGTACGTTCCTGGATTCCAGAGAAAAATCCAAATGTTGACAAATGTAAGCGGATTTCATTTACAAAACTTTCATGGAATCCGCGTACAAATACCTCTAACGTAACTTTTGTCGGCTATTTTTGGTAGCGAATTCCCTAACAAGCGAATACTTCTAGTGTTTGTGGAGTCCTTAACTGTAAGTGGATTACGCAAAGTGTACTTGGAATCCGCAAACTTAAGTGGAATCCGAAAAAATGTAAGTGGATTCGATATTTTTGTTTTTTATTGAAACTGCCTACTGCAAAATTAGAAACTAGAGCTAGAATTTATATTTATAGCAATGCGGAATTTGAAAGCAAGGACTTAACCAATGTCAGCGGAATCAACAAAAAATCTTATAACATTGAATAACTAAAAATGTGAGTCTCAACTTTTAGTATCGATCACCCTAAAGTTTACCCCAATTATTGAGGGAGATTCTTCATTTTTTGAGAACGTTGTAAACACTATCACCGAGGAAATTATTTGGTTCAGAAATTGTCATAAGCTTTAGCTCAGTTATCATCATCCTTGTTTGAGATGAGATGGTTCAGTATTTGGTTCAGAATTTAAAATTAGGCTCAGAAATCATCATCAGTGTTTGAGACGAATTAACTCACAGGTTTTTTGGGGAGAAGTCTCGTGAGGGGTTTATTGAGATGAAGGAAGGCTCGATCGTACTTTACTAATAGTGATCAACTGGATTGAAACATGCTCTTTTTCTTAAAATTGAAAAGGGAAACTTAGACCAGCGGAAAGCAAAACACAGTAGGAAAAATAAGTAACTTTTGTTTTATCTAAAGCAAAACAAGCTAGGAATAAGTTTTGTTTTTATATATTGTTGAGCAACTCGGTCAATGTTTCGATACTTTTCTTTTATATTCTTATATCTTCTGAAATGTTTTGTTTTCATATAATACTGTATATGCGTCATCAATATGTCCACCCTTATGTTGTTTCACTGGCTGTCGTCATCTATATGTCATCTATATGTCACCAATATGTTGTTTCACCAGTATATGTCATCTATATGTTTCACGTCATCTATATGTCACCAATATGTTGTTTCACCAGTATATGTCATCTATATGTTTCACTTCATCTATATGTCACCAATATGTTGTTTCACTGGCTGCAGGTATTCAGGCGTTTACTGCTGGTATTCGCATTCTGGTTTGTTTTCTGAGATATTTTAAAGATAACTTTTGCGTTTATCTACTTTATTGCTGAAAATTTTTATACAATTGATAGTGCGACAATGAAAGGTGAATTCCAGTGTTGAATTTGAGTGCAAGCTTTACCAAAAACTCATAGCCCTAGCGATTTGTTTTTCAAGAAAAGAACACATTAATCTAAAAAAGAAGACCCATTTGGACCTGGCTTGAATGATCGCTAAAAGACGGCTCTCCCTAGCACGAAAAAAAGCTCAAAATCAAATAAATTTGAGGTTCTCACCGTTAAAGCGATCAACTGAAACACATAAAAAAATTGATATTGACCCGGAATTTTAGATTACAAATTGCATTTTCAGATAAGGCTCTCTCAAAACCTTAAGAGAGCATGACATAATAACTCATGGTCTTGTTTTTAATTGAGAACTCTCTGATTGAAAGTTGCTCACTCACTGTCCGCCTTCTGAAAATCATGGTCATTATCTGGGCGTACAACGAATTAATGAAATGTATTGGGATTCTGAGTTTGAACCTAAAGGTATGAGCGGCCAACATTTGGGTTCTTGGCCTCGGCTTTGGCCTTGAGGCAGTCATTTCACGGGCCCTCATCGCGCTCTTGTCCACTCTTAGATGATGTCAGTCAACGAGTCATCCAATTCAACCACACGCACTTTAGCATCAGAGTCATCCAAGTCAACCCTTTCCATTTCACCATCAGAACCATGATACGAGTCAACAATTTCCACTTCCACTTCAGCATAAGAGTTATTCATGCAGTCTACCGTCATCGCAGAATCATTTTCGTCATTATTATCGTCAGAGTAAAATCTAATTTTTACGAAAATAAAACAAGATTGACATAGAGGAAGCGGGTTGGATATTATTTTGTGGTTTTTATTGTGAAGGATATTGTAAAGGAGAGGTTGTTTAAATAGCCCAGTCTTAGTTAGCTCAAAAAAGACAAGGTCAAAAACAATACTTACTTTTAGGTAAAAAATACCCCCAGGAACTCCAGCTCACATAGACAGGGCATTTCGGGAGTCTTTTTCCATTAGCGAGCCTCTTTCAAGAGTCTACTCACAAGTAGTAATGAATTTCTTCCTCGCAAGTCTTCTACAACGCAGTTTCAAGGAAGGAGATTGGGCACACTTCTAGGGTCGAGCATAAAAGTCCCATTTTTTTGAAGTTCAGAAATTCACTCAGTTACTTAGACTGCCCGATAAAAAGTTAAGATGACAAGTTACATTTGATAAAACAATAATTCTTTATAATTGTCCAAACTCATTGTTTACATTTTGTCTTTTCATGGCGAACATGTTTAATGACAAAAGAAATTGATAAGCAAACATAATGCGCAAAAATTTGAGACTGAAAATGTCCAGACAATCATAGAGAAGCCCGCATCCAGTTTCAAGCGCTAATAATCGATTATATTACAATTTTAGTACCAGTCTTACTATAATTGAGAAACAATCAATTTTAATCCATTAATAATCGATTATAATCTCTCTTTTTAAATTCAAATTATAATTAATTATAATCCATTATAATCGATTATAATCGATTATTTATTCGTCTATTTTTTGATACAATTATAATCGATTATAATTGATTATAATCCATTATTTTTATTCAAATTTCTATTTTATTAGTTTTGCACATAAATCCATTATAATTGATTATAATTGATTATAATCCCTTTTGTTTGTGCATTTTTGTCTTCGAAGTTGCATCTAAATTGCTTATATTTTATGCTTCTTGTGTACGTTGGTTTCTATGAAAAATGAGAAAAATGTTTTTAAAATTTTCCAATTATTTCAAATTTATAAGTTTTTTTTCATTTCTTCCCCATTAGAGTTGTTTTGTGATGCATATTTTAAGCTTTTTTAAACACCAAAACATCAGCAGATTGATTTAGTTTCATGATTGATTCGGAAAATTTATTTTTCATCTACCGCGAGAACCTTTCCACTCATATGAAAGGATCTCTATGAAACTTTTGTTTCGTGGTATAACTTTGTGTTCAGATGAACCAAAGTGTTCAAGAGATCTCTTTTTCAGAGATTTTTTTATTGACACAAAAAAATAACCCATAAGATATATTTCGAATATAAGAAAATTTCGGCAAAATAAGAGATTATAATCGATTATAATCGATTATAATTGATTTCAAGGGTTTTTAGTAAGAACTATAATCAATTATAATCAATTATAATCGATTATAAGAGATAATAATCTCTTGGAAAATATCACGATTATAATCAATTATAAATCCCTTAAAGACCTAATTTTGGTAATTATAATCGATTATAATTGTCAAAAAATCATCATAATAATCCGTTATAATAGATTATTTACGCCTAAACTTGGATGCGGGAGGCTTTGATTCGCGCTCTTTGGTGCGCGGTGTCAGTCTCAGTTCCTTTTCACTGATAATGAGCAAAGCAAAATTCCTACTGGCAATGATAGGCCGCATGGCTCACAATGATGTTGGAAAAGATTGTCCACCCCTTCTTTGGTCGCCAGCTTTTTCGTTGTTGCTGGCTAAAATGCAAAACTAAATATGAATTTTGAAAATGTTATGTTAAACTGGATATCATCCGCTGTTGGGATGAATTATGTCAGTATACGGGATATGAAAACTGGTTGTCTCCAGTGTTCGGGATTAAATGAGTTTTTCACTATGTGGGATTATATTGGCGTAGTTTTTGGAATATGAGGTGAGTGTTCAGTATATGGAATCAAACTGGATGTAGTTTTCAGTATATGGGATGAAAGTCGACCAAAGGTAGGCACCTACGCAAAATATCATGGCAAGTGATTGTCTAAGGTTTTGTCGTGTGCCTTAAGAGTTTTCTGACCTGCTCCAGATAATCTAAGTGCTTGGGCGGATTCGTGTCTCTGGTGCTATAAAAGAGAACTTTTTTGATTTTGTTCATTTCGACCAAACTGATGTATCAATTCCATCTTGAAAATAGCCTCAGATGCAACCTAAGTTGACTCAGAGCCGACAGGGGAAATACCGAGTATCATTTGCTAAAGTGCTCTTCGTCTTTCCACTTCTTCAACCCAGTGATCAAACCAGAGATTGATGCATCAGATCATGCTTGAATACAATCAGTTAAGAAGAATACAAAACTTAAAA